CGGGAGGGCGGAGGTCCTGCCCCAGCCCAGCCCAGCCCAGCCCCAGCCCGCCTGGGGGAGGTGCGAGGGGCCAGACCCAGGGGAAGAAGCCTGGGCGGCGGCATCGCGGATGCAGACGCAGGGGAGTCGCTGGCGGGCTGGGGAGGGGGCCCGGGACAGCCCCACCCGCAAAAGAGGGCTCGGGCTACTGTTTCAAGGGATGGGTCGCTGGGTCCAGTAGGCTCTGGACCCCAGGAGGACAAAGTTGCGGGGGCTAACCCTGTTTCCGGAGCCCCGAGACTGGTGCGTGCGCGTCCCGCAGAGACGCGGTTTGCGGACAGAAATTTCTGGCGCTGTCCAGGGTGCTGACAACGCGGGGCCCCCCCCCCCCCAACACACACCCCGCGGCGCGGGAGCCACCCCTACCCCACCCCGCCCCCACCGCAGGCTGGGTGTTGTAATAGGGTAGGGGGGTGCGGTTTGAGCCCCACGCCTTCCCCGTGCCCAACAGAGCAAACTGGAGCAGTGGGCTCCAGGGTGATCCACACTGTCCATCTGTCCCTTCCTCTAGGAACCTGCTGGACCTCGACACTTTCTCCAAGTCCGACCCCAGTAGGAGGCGCCAGGGCGGGAGGGGGAACTTGGGGGCCGGTGTGACTCGGGCAGGGAAGGGTGCGAGCCCCCTGACGTCCCCCCTCCCCCGCGTCGCCCCCCGCAGTGGTGGTCCTTCACACGCAGAGCCGGGCCAGCCAGGAGTGGCGGGAGGTGAGCCGGGGGCCCCCCAGACCCGTGGGAGCAGGGGCCCTGCAGGCCCCCGCTGACTTAGCGCCCTCCCATCCTCCGCCCACTGCCCAGTTCGGGCGGACCGAAGTGATTGACAACACGCTGAACCCAGACTTCCTGCGCAAGTTCGTCCTGGACTATTTCTTTGAAGAAAAGCAAAACCTGCGCTTCGACGTGTGAGCCCCGCCCCCGCTTGGCTCCTCCCCCAGACCCCGTTAGGTCCCACTCTTGGGGTTCCACCGCCCTCTCAGCCAAGTCCCCCTTCCAGCCTTGCCTGGGTTTTGGAGCCAACCCAGCTGACTGCCGCCCCGCCCCAACTCATCCCCGCCCCTGGGTGCCCCCCAAGGCCCTCCTGTGGCCTGGCTCCCTCCCTGCGTGACCCAGCCCCTGCCCCAAGAGACCTAGGTGGGGTTCGGGTTCTAGAGCCCACATCCCTCCACCCAAACCTTTAGCCAGGGTTTCCTAGCCGCCCCCCCCAACCCCCACCCAGCCCTATGCCGGTTCACTCTCTTCCCAGGTACAATGTGGACTCCAAAACCAATATCTCCAAGCCGGTGAGCGTGCGAGCACTCCCAGGAGGCCTGAGCAGGCGCAGCGAGCCTCAGTGTTAATGGACCTCCTTAAGACCCCCCCACCCTGCACCCCAGTTGGCCTTCTTTGCCCCCCTCCCCTGAAACTCCCAGCCCGGCCCTCCTGTCCTGCTCCCGCCAAGGCTTTCTGCCTGTGACTCGTACTCTCTGCTCTTCTTCCTCCTCTGCCTTCTGGGGCCGCAGAAGGTGAGGCTGAGCTGGCTGGGGGGTGAGGGGGGCCTGGTGGGAGCAGGGGCAGGAAATGAGAGAGCAGCGTCCAGGGGTGGTGGGACCCACCAGCCTGCAGCCAGCACACACATGCTGGACAGCCCAGGGTCTGGGGGGCCAGCATTGCCGGGCGGGGCTGGGGCTCTGTGCCCCCAGCTGGGTGTGGCCTCCCTGACTCCCGGCTCTGCACAGGACTTCCTGGGACAAGCGTTCCTGGCCCTGGGAGAAGTGATCGGAGGGCAGGGCAGCCGCGTGGAGCGCCCCCTCACGTGAGCTGCATGGGGGGGGGGAAGGGGGAGCGTGGCACCTCCACATTCTGTCTCCCAAGGTGCTGCTATACCCCTAGAGGGCCCCCTTCAGGGGCTGCCATGCCCTCGAGGGAAAGTCCAGTCCCCAGGGCTTGGCTCGAGCCAATCCCCCATCCCCATCTCCGGTCTCTCCCGGCCCTTCCCACTCCCCTTGACCAGCTCTAAGACAGATTCAGCCTGTAAGGTCCACTCCAAGCCCTTGTCCTGCAGGAACTCCCTCTGCCTTGTCAGGTCCGCTGGAGTTTGTGTTCTGTTCATTCACGGGATATTTATTAGCACCTGACCTCTGTCACCAGGTGCTGCACACCGGGGTTTGTCCATCTAAATACACTGGACACAAACTGTGTCAGTCAGTCACTGGTGAAGGGTGTTGGCTGTAGGTGTAGGTGAGGGAGGGGCTCTGAGGACTCCCTCCCCCTCCCCCCCCTTGGAAAACCAGGTACCTGGTAAAGGTGACTGAGACAGGATGGGGGAGGAGCCTGGAGGCTTTCGGGGCAAGGAGGAGGCGGAGCCAGGTGGAGGAGGAACAAGGAGGCCATCGGAGCCTGCCGACTCCCTCTCCCCGGACTGGAGGGTCTGGGAACGTGGGAAGCCACGGCGAGGGAGGCCCCGGGGTCTGTCGCCCGCGTTCAAAATGAGCCCAGTTGGCGTGGCTGTTCCGCTGGTCTCATTCAGCCGCGCAGCTGCAGAGTGAGTTCGGCGGAGAACTGGATGTCACAGGCTGCGGCTTCACAGCCAAAGAAAAGGTCCGGGGGAAGGGGCGGGAGGAAGAGGTTGGCTGGACTCACTCGGGGTGCGGAGGGGAAGGGAAGACCACGGAGGTGAACAGCCTGAAGGCAGTGGGCCAGGTCCCGGGAGGTCTTCACCTGTGGCAAGTGAACACGCCTGTCCTCACCTAAAGCCGGCAGGTGAACACGCCTGTCCTCACCTAAAGCCG